GCCTTGTATTCATCTTGATGGTGCCTATAATGAGCTGCAAAAGAATATAGAAGATAAGATTTTAACTTCTGCTGCAAAGCTTCTATGACGTAATGGAATGATACCCTACCAAGTTATTAATTGTATGTCCTCGACACGACAAATTATTAGGTGCGGACACCAGACAAAGAGAATCATCCAGATTTCTCTCTGTCTTCAGTAAAAGCGCAGTCAAAGCGCAACTGCTACATCGGATTCTCTCTGTCCGGTGTCCGAACCTAATAATTTCTCCCTCAACACACCACTTCTGTCCCATGATTATTCCTAACAAAAAGTGTTACTGATCTAAAACTTGCTTAAAGAATAGTAGCTTCTCAGTGCTTATGTAATGTATATCTGCTGAGTGAAAGTGCTTTAGAGATATGCTGATAGATCACAAGTAGATAGACAGGCATTTTTGTGTTACAGATCAGTAGTTACATCAGTCATGTTACCCGAGACACCACTAAACAAGCTTCATTCTATCAAATAATTAACTATACCGAAAAAACTCACCTACATGAGGAGAGCTGCTCCATTTGATAAGGTTAACATCAGCACCAAGCTCCTGTAGACATTGGGCAAAACTGTACAGAGTTTGGTAAGGAGCCAGCTTATCATCTTCAGAGCAAAGTATAATGAAAGGACCCATGCTCTGCAATTATATCAGATCCAAAAAATCAAATAAATGATGGAATTGTATGTTTGAAGAAATGGAGAACCAAAAAAGAAACATAACAGAGCTTTACAACTGAGGAATACAAAGTCTGCCAATATTCAGCTCGCTGTGCTTCAAAACTGTTGAGGAAGAGAGCATCCAAACCAGATGCAAAAGCTTTCGCCATACATGACACGACTCTCGGTGGATAGGACATCTTTAAAACTGACGAATGAAGCACAAATTGGAGCCCGAGATCATTGGTGAAATCAACAGGACAAGAGTCATAAATTTGCCCGGAGATACAATCTCTCAGCAGCAAAAAATCATCCTGTAAGACAAAAGTAAACAGTTATATTGTTTTCAAAACAGAAACAATTAGCGTAAAACCAATCTTTACGGGGCAGAAGCCAACCATTTTTAGTACTCAAATTTATAACCATAAAGTAGTAGTTTCAGGGAATGACAAAAATAACAGCAACTAAAAACAGTAAGGCATACCTGATTGTGTTGTCCTGCACATTTTCCCTCAACCAACTGCAGAGAAGGGTCAAAATTTTATTAGTAACGTGAAGGGGAATGATCATTGATTCAACTATAAAGAGGTAAATTTTCCATATATCACTAAACACCGTACCTGGAGAACCTTGAAAAAGTAACCCTTCGATCCAGCTGAAAAAGCAGCAAGAACAATCGGCATTGGCCTAATTTTTACTTCCTGTCACTCCCACAGCATTAGACATACAATTCATTAGAATCTACGAGGGCTGATATTAAAAGCACCACTAAAACTAGATCAACAAAGTAAGATAAAAGTTCCAAAAAGCTGGTAATAAAATAATAATAGATAATCCACCCCGAAAGCACTAATGAAACACAAATTGGAGTTTCCAAACTCCCCAATACCTCACATTAAAGATAATTCAAGGTTTATTACTTTCACACAATAGCCTAACATCATGGACTGCTACGGTAGCAATAGCATGGATCATAAACAAGCTTACATGGTTCGACTCATCACCCTTAAGCCTTATCATAACAATCCGGGAAAAGCTTTATGGATCCTCAACTCTTGATGAATGCATGAAGCATTAACTTGGTTTTGCAGAAATATTTGTGCACAACTTTAATCATAATCATTTTAACTTTGGCCTACACTTTTTCCTTTCCAATCATTTCACATTAATTAAATCTATTTTTTGCTTTCGGGTATACATACCCAAACCACATCTATTTTCCACTTAACCTTATCTTCAATATATACTAACTATATTTGACCCTCAAAAATAATATTTTTTGTTAGATTCCTCAAATACATGAATAAAAGGAAAAAGGGAATCCTGTTTTAAGATTTCCAAGTATAGAACATTCATGGTATGAAACAGTAAAAAAAGGAAAAAAAGGGTATGAAACAGTAATCATGCAATTTGATTTCATAAACTGGAAGACTTTTCTCAATTATTTCACAACTTATTGATACTTATAGGAGAATGAAAAACTAACTTTCTAAGCTTGATAAATTTTCTTAATTATTTCACAAACTATAGGTCATTTATAGCAGAAGAAAACACCAGAGGAAACAAATTTGTTGGAGTATGTTAAGCTAAATTATACAAACCTTAATCAGCTCACCAACAATACCAATTGCTAGTTCTGTGGCCTTTTCAGGGAAAAACCTGCATAATATTGCAAGTTTTTAGAAGAATAGTGCAGGAAAACATATTAATGGAATAACATGGTGAAGACGACACGAAATCACAATGCACTCAAAAGCTACTTTTACAATGATATTAACTTCTACATATGATCTTTATTATTCAACATTCATCATCTTCATTCCTGATGGATACAGACTGTAATGTCTGAAGCTGTCCTCGCATGAACCTAACTAAAAACTTTTTACATCCACACATTATTGTTTGTTGAGAAAAAAATGGCTAAGCTTGTATGAAAGGATTGGCCAGAATTTCTACCAACACAGAATATATCAAATCAGTGAAAGGTTAGGCGCCTCGTGAAAAGCATGTTTATAAAACAAATGCAACTGAAAGGCGCACTTAACCAGACTAATAATAAGATTTGATCACCTTTAATTTACAATAATATAAGGTATGCAAATGTCAATGATATTTCCAACTTTTTATAATTGGTAAGGACCACGAATAGACTGACAAAATTGTTTTAAGAATAGATGAAAAATGTATTCTTACAACAGTTCATCTCTCTTCGAGCTCCGCATCCTTCGTGTAAATACATTATTTTATGTATTTAGGGTTTCATAAGGATAACATAATAAAGACAGCACACACGAATGTCGATGATGACTCCTGCTTTATAAAATAGAGAAGACCATTTTGATCCATGAATAAACTGACAAATGAAGTGGAAGAATAGATGATAATAGACTGTATTGTTACCACAGTCCGACTCACTTTGGGCTACTCATATCCTTAACAAACTAAGAATGTCAATATTGCACACAAAAAATATTAAATTAAAGCCAATTTTGATTCAGCCTAAAAAGATTAAAAAAAATTCAGGTCGTTTGCCAGTATAAAAAAAATGGGCCAACCCAAAACTTTGAAATCAAATCATTTGTTCTGTGAATTCTTTCTTTTTCTTTTTATTCATAAAAAAACACATCATTTTTTCAGGTTCTCAAACAAAAATCAAATAATTATATCCATTTTGTATCAAATTGACACTAACCTGACATAATTCAACTGCTTCTCATGCCAAGTCATGTCAAGTTGGGTTAAGAATAATCAAGTTAAATTCTTGTTGAAAGTTTTCAATCATTCAATGAATTAGTTAGGCTAAGGCTGATTATATTCAAGTCATATAATTTTCAGGCCAAACCAAAATCCAACCCATAAGCCTGAATTGACACCCTTGCAAGAAACTTATTCTTCTATCACTTCTTCAGCACATTGCCAGATAGCAACTACAATGAAGAGAAGCAATTTAAATTTTCTAAGGTTTCAACTGAACTACCAAAATAAGTAAGCAATTTAAATTTTCTAAGGTTTCAACTGAACTACCAAAATAAGTAAGCAATTTCCCAACATAATTAAACGTTTTTCCAAAACAATATCAATATGGTCAAACGGATCCAACTTTTTTTATATATCTTGAAGAAAATTTTCTGTCTTTAACCTTAAATGTTGTTAGAGTCGTATAAAAATGACAAAGTTGATAATCATTACAAAATATGTTTCGTTCTTTTATATCATATATTTTTTCAATAGTTTAACGTTGTCAAGAAGCTCCAATCCTCATAATTTCGTTGTGTATTAGTTGCTAATATATAGTACTATAAAAAATGGGCTTGGTATTCCACTACATTTAAATCTTAACTGTTCATTTTTTAAAAGTAAAAAATGTCTTCAATTGAAGCCTCGACTATCCCCGAAAATCTAAATAAAGGTCCCAAATAAATTTTCTCACTTCCTGACAAACCAACCATTTCATTTCCAACATTGTTCTTGACCATTCTCTTGGATTCCCTCAACAGCTCCCTCTCTCCACCCTCATCCTCAAATTGCTTGTTATCCACTGAAAAGGCATATCATACGTGCTTCTTATTAGCAGCATCTAGTTGACCCATCCCTTCTGTAATTAAATCAGAGAAGCTGTTGCTTGAAGTTGTTTTAATCGCTTCCTTACCTCTCATCTCACTTTTTCCTCAAAGCATACTTACAATCTGCTTTTCTTTGTTGAGCACACATATAATTCACCAAAATCAGAATCTTCTACCATCGGGTTGTGATGTTCTACAAGGATATAAATCATCAACTCTATTGTATTTACTCAATCTACAAGAACCTACTGAATTATTATTCTTCCAAATAGTTATAGAATACTCCTGTTTTTTAAGACAACAACTTACTTTCTATGAATTTTGTGATCCGATAGCCAACAAGGTCTTTGGAGACTTTTATACAACTTAACCGATATAAATGATACAAATATAAATGAGACATTAACCAAATAATATATGGTTTTAGAAACATCTAATTTATGTTATCAAATGCTACTTCCTAAAAGAATTGTGGGATCTCCTAGCCGACCAAGGTTCTTTGGAGATTTCCTGCAATCTTAAGTATGTATAAATGACATATTTATCAATAAATATTGTTATTCCATTTGTTAACTTGCTATATCTCAGATTTTCAAGCAAAGGTATGTTATCTTGTCCTACTCGTGTTATTTTACAATTTAGTTCATACCAATGACCATAGATTGAGCTTGTTTGCTATTGATGGATACATCACTTGAGGGATCCTTCATTGGAAATGCAAAAAGATTATGCCATCTAGTTTAGAGGAGACTTAAGTAAAAAACATAGTTTGACTTAAACTTCATAATTTCACGATCAAAATGTCATTTTGTTTAAAATGTATGAAGCCAATTTGGATTTTTATCATAGGAGTGGTTGCATCCAAATCTTGCTGCAGTAGAATGAGGGAAGAAGCAATCTTGGATAGAGATCAATGGCTTTCGGATTAAACAGACTTTGGATGGTTCATTATGAAGAAAAGTTTTTCTACTCGATTAATTGATTGTGCACATTCTTTGTTAAGAAAGAAAGTTTGGCATACTGGCTTGCAACATGAATTTTTTTTCAGGATGCTTGTCAAATATTCTCAGAGGTCATGAAAATATGTTGTTCAATACAATATGATAATTTGTGTGCCTTACCTTGTGCATCTCTAAAGCTTTTCTCGCTAAAACTCCAAAAGTACAGTTTAGTTTAAGTTATGAAATATGGTTGTAACATGTCAGTTCAATTGAGATATTCAAAGGGAGAAACTCAATTAATTGAGTAAACCGACAAGCTCATCCAGGATGGATTGATTTGAAACAAGAAATGTGGTGGGAGATACTACATGCCAGTTCAGCGTAACCAATGAAAAAAAGAAACTCAATTAATTCAGCATGTCAGCAATAATGTCTCATCACAGCCATAATGGACTTAGTAAAAAAGCTTCCACTTTCCAGGAAGATCTAGGTTCTAATAAAGTTAAATTAATACATAAAATTACATTGAATTTCAAAAAAGTGAACAATGACTTTTAGGTCAGAAAGCTGATTTAATAAGCACAAAATAATTCTTCCAATAAGGAGAACTGTTGTGCTAAATGAACTCCAAAACCTTTTGGTTAAATATGCGCTTCAAATTCTTTTCTTCTTAAATTTAGTTTACTTTCCATTCAAAAATTTTGACATAAAGAGGTTAAGATGCACTTATAACATAAAGTTAAAATTGCTTTTTCCCCCAAATTTTACAAAAGGGCCACCATCTTAACATAAAGTTTTTTGTTTTTTTAATCAAGGGTACTCTATAGATCATAAACATTTGTTATCTATTTATGATGGTATTATGGTACTTTCAGGATGAGTAATGATGTCCAGGTTGTGAATTAGTTTTTTATACCGTTAATTACAGTCCTATATCGAGTTAGAATTGTTTAATTTGATAAAAAAATTCAGCTCAAAAAAGCGATTGAGAACATATTATGATTGTGCGTGAGAGCACCGACTTCCTTAAGAAGATAACTGCTTCTCTAGAGTTGTCACGTATCATCTCCCGCATCAAATAAAATCCATAGAACAGACAACGATAAAGAGTAGGTTTCTTGCAGTCCTTCAATCTAGTTCCTAAAAAGAGAAGGTTTTGGTTTCCTATCAATTTACTTACGCTCAGAATTTCAGTCATAATAATCCATTTTCACTCGATCAAAATCAGTTCTAACATGGTTCCACACTTCCACATAAAAATAATTATATCAAAAAAAGGAATTTCCTTTTTCAAAATCTCCAGATAACTTAACTGCTACCTTCACGAAATAATATAACAGAGAAACAGATAGAAGCAGAATAGTCAAACCATTATTACTTACTGGGTGAGAAAATCCACATGGCAAACGAGGCAATCCCATCCCAAAGACCAGTACAGATCCACATAAGGCTTCAGATGACTCTCCTGGCTAGAGAGCCATGCAAAGAGCACCACGATCCCCCCCGCTCTCCTTCCCCCTTCCTCCTTCCTCAACCAGTAGAACCTACCCCACATTCTCGACACTCCAAAGCCAGAAAAAGGAGAAGAAATCAGCACCGCACGCTAGGGCTTACCTCCATAGATGAAATTAGTCTCACCTACGCTCCTCCACCTCAATTCCAATATATATGCTCCCAAACCAACGAATCTACAAACCCTAAAAAATTGTATAGATTATGGAATTGAATCTAAAGTTTGGCAAACGCCGTCTTCTTCTGAAAACAATCAACAACTATTTCACAAATATAAGGCCAACAACAACCTTTGTGAGGGAGGTGATAGAGAGAGAAAGAAGGTTGGGAAGTTTGTTCATCGATTTCCCTTCGCTCTCTCTTTCGATACTTTATTGGATAAACTCATGCTAACGTGCGCAACGGCGTAAGCGTACGTTAGCGTTGACGGCGCGTGCCATCAGCAGCAGATAACATAACACAGTCCAGAAACAAATATCTTCCGTCCGTTCCGTCTGCCGTTCCAATTTTTTCCCGTTTCCATTCGTTATTAACGAAAACACAAAGACAAAAGGATTATTTTTTATAAATAAAAATAATATTTAAGACAAATATAATTATTTCGTACATATAACATTACTTTCAAAATAATTCTATTAATTTTAAAATTCATTATTCTAAATGTTCTGATATTTTTTTATTTATAAAGTTATAATTTTCATCGAAAAAATCATCAAAATAGAAAATTATTATTTTGTCCTTCTCCTAAAATGTGGCTGTTAAAGCATGATTCACAGTTTCTATTTCTGACGAGTCATCTTAGCCGATTTGATCACATAAAACAGTGATCTTCTAATGACCCATTTTAAGAAATTAGAGGTATTAGATTTAACTTATGTTAATAAAAATAAAGGTAGCACTAAAAAAACTTGATCAAAAAATATTAAAAATGATCTGATCTTATTTTATTTTATTTAAACAAGAAATTTACTTTTAATAGGATATAATAAAAAAAAATTCATATAACCAACCCCACATTGAAATAAAGACTTGATGTTATTATTGTTGAATTTCTAACTAGTCAATAATTCTATAAAATCTATAAATGTAACCATTTTTTCAAAATTACAAGGTCAAACGAGCAGCGAACTTTCAAAGTGATTTTCACATCATGTATTTATTGCTTTAATTAATTAAACTTTTTGTTTAAAATTTTTTATTAATAATTACTGACCAATCTTACTGTTGCGTGCTAGAAAATACGCGGCGGTAGAGATTGTAAATTCACGTCCGAGCGTTGCACGTAAATTTAACACACAAACAGTAAAGAGAATATGAACACCGGGATTTATACGTGGAAAATCCAAAAAGGGAAAAAACCACGGGGCCTTGCCCAGTTGTAAAATTTCACTAGTGTTTTTGTAAATTACAAGAAACCGATTCGTCCCACAAATCGAGACGATCAGATTACAACTTGAAGCAAATTTACAAAATTTTACAGAATCCCATCGTTTCCCGAAAATCCGGCAGAGTTACGGCGTATTCAGGCGGCGGGAAGAGCTATGGCGGTGGTCGAGGAGGAGAGGATTCGTCATTTCCCCTTTTCCTTCTTCACTTCTTCTTCTCTCTCTTCACTTGAGTCCCCTTTGTGTAGAATGAGGGCTCTATTTATAGTTTTTCTGGAGTGTCATAGCTCGTAAATAGGTGTGAGATCATGGGCGAATAGGAAGTGGTTTGAATGGACGGCCGATATTGAACCCTTCAATCGTGCACCGTTCGTTGGACATTTGGAGGCCTTAATGATGTCGGAATTTGGCGATCTTGGGCTCGTTGGATTCGTCTCATTGAGCCGCTCGATTCGAGTATAAGCTCGTTTAAATTGGAGACCGTTTGGTAACTCAAATTGCGGTTTGAACCTTCCAACAGTGCTTCGGCTCCTTGATTCGGACTCATTTGGGCTCGGATTGGGTTCATCTTGGTGTCGTTGGGTTCTTATTTCCGAGACGCTCAGTTTGACTATAAGCTCGCTGAAATCGGAGTTCGGGTGCTCCCAAAATTAAATTTTGAAGTTTCCAACTAGCTTTTGCCTCGAGATTCATGCCCGATAAAGCTAATTTTGTGATGCCGCATCACTTACAATCTAAATTGTTACTTTTTTGGGGAAATTTTGGGGCCAAGGCCCATAAAAATCACTAAAATAAGAAGGGAATTACAAGTAAGAAAAAGTTACAAGAAAAAGCACCCCAACATAAGCAAAAAAACAAAAACTTATGTGAGGAAAAAGGAAAAAACCCCAACTATACCACCCAATTACAATTAAAAACCCAAAAAGAGCTCAAAGAGAATACATGGTAGTAAGCAACTAAGCATAGGACCAAAAAGAAGCCAAAAACCAGCAGTCCACAATCCAGAACACGCAGTAGACGACGAACCAGCTGGCAACAGCAAAGATGAACACCTGCAGAAAGCAGAATAGAAAGAACAGCTCCCTTGGCTTGGTGCCTGGACTCAGAGAGAAAAACAGTGGATCGAGGGACATTTCCCAGGTCGCCCGAAGACCATCCAAGGGAGATACAAGGGAGCTTCATCATCGTCCAGGCACAGCCTTGTATCATACCCGAGGGGCAGAAAGTCTTAGAGACAGAAGAGAAGAGAGATGCCAAAGAGTCCACCAAAAGATATTTCCAGAATTTCCAAAACAACTATCGACAACAAAACTACTCCAGCCAAAAGAAATACAGCTGCAGGTGAATAAAAACCCAAACAGAGAGGCCAACCAGATGAAGCTCATTCTAACCCAGGAGGTACAAAAGTTCATGTGCATTTTTCCAACCCAGCAGTTTTTTCTCTACAAGCTCTTTTAATTTTTCTAATAACAGTTGTGCAGCACTCAACCAAATTTCCAAAAATCCTATCATTCCGAGCACGCCAAATGAAATAAATAGCAGAATTTAGCATCAGCTTAAACAGGTCATTCATTCTCCTGTTATCCGCAATCTCATCAGCAAATGCAAAGGTTTGCAGTAAATTTGGCCTCAGTAAAAGAGTTTGGGTTTGACGGATTAAAGAATTGATAATGCCAAAAGAAAAATCACATTCAAAGAAAAGATGAGAATGGGATTCAATACCATCCAGGCAAAGAGCACATTTAGCATTCACCAAAATGCCTCTTTTAAGTAATATATCAGCAGTTTTGAGGCCCTTCTTAATAGCCAACCAACCATAAGAAGCAAACCTAATAGCACTTCTCTTGTGCCAAATAAAGTTATGCCAATTCACAATGAGGTAGTTCTTAAAAAACTCTTTTTGAAAAAGCTTATTGGAAACTTTCTCAGCATTATTCCAGAGACAACCAGTATTGCAATTCCAAATGATCACAGATTTTATTTTTTACTGCATTATAGGAGGCCAAGTATCAGGAATCACCCAAATCCCATTGCTAATAATGTCAGAAACCTTCCAATTGTTGAGGCTATCCAAGAAGCCATTATCCCCATTCCATAAAGGTCGAAGGGCAGAACCAAATAACCAAGGATCCCAAAGGAGAGAGAATTGACAGTTCGAATGGACCCTTAGCAGAAAACTGCTCTGAGACAAATGAGCCACCGTAGTGAGGTTAATCCAGAAAGAGGAGCAACGGTTGGGTAAAGGTGCCCAAAGAGATTTGTACCGATTTCTCTACCATTGGAAAAGAGGATTAGAGCCATTAATAAATCTCAAGATGAGAGAGCAATAAATATTATAAGATAGGGAATCCAGAGATGGAATACCAAGCCCCCCATTAATTTTTGGTATGCAGGTGTCTTTCCAGGCAATTAAATGAAGTTTCCTAACATTAATATCCCTAGAAAAGAGAAATCTGGAACAAAGTTTGTTTAACACCTTTAAACAAGACTTAGGGATAGCATATCCTCTTAACCAGTAGGCAATCATATTGTAGATAGTGTATTTCAGGAATTGAATTCTCCCTCAAAAGGATAGAGACTTGGCCTTGCACCCATCTAAAGCTTTAGTCACATTTAAAATAAGAGGTTGGAAATGGACTTTTGAAAGCTTCTTAGTGAAAATGGGGATACCCATATATTTAATAGGAGAAGTGGACCTTTGGATGTTGAGCAAATTGCAAATCCCATCAGCAAACCTACAGTTCTTAGAAAAAAGAATGGAGCTTTTGGAGGGATTAACTTTAAGACCAGAATGAGACTGGAAAAGCTCCAAAATAGATTTAAGAGTAGCAGCTTCGGCAAGGTTATCATTTGAGAAAACAAGTAAGTCATCAGCATATAAGAGATGTGAAATGGAGGAGTTACCAACCGAAATGCCCCTGAAAGAGTGAGAGTGTAAAGCTTCCTCAAAGCAAGCAGATAGCCCATCCATGACAATAGTAAACAGATAAGGTGATAAAGGACAGCCTTGACGCAACCCCGAAGAGGAACAAAAATACCCTTCCAATGATCCATTAATAGCAACAGAGAAGTAAACCTCTGAAATACAAGCATTGATCCAAGAAATGAAAACTGAAGGGAAGCCTTTAGCTTTAAGCCTTTCAATAAGAAAATCCCTCAAGACAGTATCAAAAGCCTTGTGAATATCAAATTTGGCACAGAAATAAGGATCTTTAGAGTTGCTGTTGAAAGTGCCCAGGATGTCTGTTGCCAGAATAACATTGTCTGATATAATTCTATTAGTAATAAATCCAGACTGAGCTGGATTTATGATAAAAGGCATCACATGTTTCATTCTAATAGCCAGCAACTTAGCAATAATCTTATAAAATGAATTGCATAAAGAAATAGGCCTATAGTCATTAGGGGTGTCAATTTCGGGTCACGGGGCGGGTTCGGGTCGAACCCGGAAATGACCCGGCACTAATCGGGTCAACCCGAACCCGACCCGTTTTTACAAACGGGTCAATTTACCGGACCCGAACCCGACCCGCTTCGGGTTCGGGTCAACCCGACCCGACCCGCGGACACGGCAAGGCAGCGGCGATATTCGGGATCAGCTTCAGCGCGGCAGCAGCGTCCGGCGGCAGCGGGCGTCCGGTGTCCAGCGGCTTAGCGACATCGACATCCGGCGGCACGCGGCAGCAGCGTCCC